CCCGCCCACCAGCTCCGCCCCACCCCGAGGTCCTCTCCCCGCCCACCAGCTCCGCCCCGAGGTTATAGCTCTGCAGGCTAGCCCGGCTGCAAGACCTATTCTCCGCCCTCCAGGCCTGACATATGCTCCCTGCCCGCAGCTCCCAAATTCGGAGTCCTCCAGAGTCATTACTCATTCACGGTCGGGAGAGCTTTCCGGGTTATTCATTGACAAAATACTCCTCAACCCCAAACAGCCCCCGTCCCATCTCGCTCTGACTCAGTTCCTTCTCTATTTCCTCGAGGTTTGTCAACCCTTTCCCCTACATTTTCCGGGGAAAGCAGGTGAGAGGGTCCTCCAGAGACCAGCCCTAGGTCTCCAGCCTCTGCCTCCGTGACGCTCGGCCTGGTCTCTGTGGACCTTGTGTTAAATGCTCTGTCCTCCCTCTGTCGGGGGGAGAGGGGGTGGTGACAGAGTGGAGAGAGCAGTGGGACGGCCCTGCGGGGATCAGACTCCCACGTATTCAAGAACTGGCTGTGTGACCTCGGACCGGTTACTTAACCTCTCTCTGCCTCAGTTTCCTTCTGTGTAGTAAAACAGAAGGAAATATAACCCCGCCCTCCCAGTTGGAAATTGCCAGTAAAGAGCCTAGAAGAGGACCTGGGAGCAAGAGCGCCCTCACTCAAAGGTGGCTGCTGCTAAATGCCTTCGCTCAGCTAGTATTTCCCGAGCACATACATGCTGTGTGCTAGGCACTGTGCCCTGCGGGGCTGCAGAGAGGAGAGCCAGTATTTCAATGGAGGGGCTGTGGACTGAGCTCCCCTCCTCCTCCTCCAACTCACCGGACTTCGAGTCCCCCTCCTCTCCTGTCCCTCCCTTCTCCGCCCTCACACTCAGTTCCCGGAGCGGGTGCTGGGCCCCGGCCCCTACCTGGAATGCAGGCTTGAACCAGCAGCAGCAGCAGCAGCAGCAGCGGCGGCGTCAGCATTCCCGGGACGCCCATGGTAGGCAGCGGCTCGCGTACGTGACCTCCCTGCACTCTGAGTCTGGCCGCGGGAAGCAGACAGTTTTGTTATCCCTGGGGCTCCTCCCACACGTTTGGCGAAAGAACTAGTCAGCTCTAGATGCGTGGGCGCCCCACCTCCCCCCCCCTACCACACCCC